CAGACGAAGATTCCGAACAATGGACATTGCTTAACAACCGTGGCAAGGCCCGTAGAGAGATTATCCAGGTAGATTCTCTCCTTACCCATACCGATACTGTGTACTGACATTTCTTCTCACAGTAGATCCAATCAACTCTTGCACAAAAGTTCAACCTCTCATGCAAACAAACATTTGAGAAAACTGAAGCCACAACAGACGATGTTCTGCTCATTCTTAGCATTTTGTGGGAACGCGCAGTCGATATACCTTGTGATCCTAGACATCGGGTTGTCTTTCATACATTGGTGCTTATAGGAAGCATTGGCTTTCGGCCCGGCACTTATGAGAACATGCTTTACCGACAAGTCAAGCTACTTGTCGTTCGCGATCCGAATACAAAGGAACCAAGGCTTGTTGCTCAGATCACGATCAATCAGAACAAGCTATCGGCTAATAAAATTGATAAGGGGGCAGATGTGTATGTATTTCTTGCCTTTAACCGTTGATCCAAACTAACACTTTTCTAGGGTGACCTTTTCTGCTACTATGGTACCATGCCAGATCATTTGTTTAGTTACGTTTGTAGCTATTCAAGCTCTGCAGGATGATGCCTCCGAAACAGAGTTTTCATCGTTCGACGAATTACTTCAGCGTCCAAACTTGGAAGATGTTGATTGCATTGAACTTAGGTGGAAGGATGGGATGCAGGAAAAGCCTGTCTTTCCCCTAAAGTACTACAAATTTCTGGAACTTTGGAACCGGACATGGATGGTAGCGGGGAACAGAAACACTCTCCGCCCCTATGCGCTGCGAATCGGCGGCGGAAATAAAATTGATGGTAAGAAACTTTTACCTGTTTCCCTCACTATTTTGCTTACAATTTTTACACAAGGTTCCCTTACATCCGCTATTCGAAACCACATCCTGAGCCATAACACACAAACGTTCGAAACTTCTTACCAAGCGAGGCATATTCCACACAATTTGATGTCATTCGTTTTCGATAGTACATCTGAAGACGATTCCAAACTATTCAAGCTACTGGCCTCCGCATCCTTGCGTAGGGATGACAAAGCACCGCTTTATCCGACACCGGCTACGCTAGAAACGTTTGAAAATCGCGAGGATATGAAAGCACTTTGCGCACAGCGTCGTCATCTCCGGGAAGAGCTCCAACTCTCTGCAGACAATAGAGAGGTAAAGCAACTTTCCGCAAAAATTGGAGATTTACGGACGGTATTGTCAAACTTGGCTGTCAAGCAGGCTCGAGAAAACTACTTTGCTAAAGTTGATTCCCTTAGGGCTCGCAGCCTGTCAACCGAAGATATGCCAGCCCCCCCTCCAAACCCTTTCAGATGCTCCTTCGGTCCCAGTTTACCTGCAGCGACAATCATTGGTCGATACTTGAACCCCAAAGATCCGGTTTCCGACACCGCTACGAAAATGCTTTTTCCAAATTCGACCGACAGTGGTTCTGACCAAACTACCCAAAAGCGGCTTGCAGTACCGGAAATGCTTCTTGCGTATCTGAATGATAGGTACAGAGAAGTAGAAGAGGTTGCTCAGGAAATGGAGCAAACAGCCTCCGAACATAAGAAAGCAGCTTCCACGCTCTCTACATGTCTTCTTTGCCTACAAAGCTTCACTCGTCGACGTAACCTCACTAGACACCATCAGAGCGTCCATTTCACGTCAACGACCTTTGAACCTTTCTCATGCCCCGAATGTCAGCGGCAAGGAAAGGAGGAGTATAGAATCGAGAGGGCATTGGAGTGGAGTAACCATGTCGAAAGAGTACATGGTTCCATCAACACTCCGGATCTCTTCACTACGCCAATCGTCAAACCCAAATCAATGGCTACAACTACCAAGTCAAAATCTGCTCCTTGTTTAAGATGCGGCCAATTGATCTATGCCGGAAATAGTTTGTCAAGGCATATGAATAAGTATCACAGAATCGTAGAGCCATTCGATTGTCCACAATGTAAGAGAGAAGGGGAGAATATCCAGATTAATGACCTCGCTTCGTGGCTTACACATACGTTGGATGTTCACGGCTGTAATGGGCAAACAGGAGTGGTTACTGATAAGGAACGCCTACCAAAACAGGGACAGAAGAAGAGGAAAAGAGAAAACATAGTGGAGGAAGCAATAAAACGTACTAAATTATAATCTTAAGTATATAGAACACAAACAAGAATGCTGTCTCCATCTCTCCCACCAAGATATCTCCTCCTGGAACCACGATGCCAGATCTCGCTCTCCACAAGCGTGCTCTGATCCAAAGCATAATCGACTGTAAACTGAAGATGACAAGGATCTAAAAGATAACGAATCAGTAGAAATAGTCGACTGTACTGCCCGCGCGATCCCCGCATCCGATCAAACCTGCTTCACTTCGGAACTACAATGGCACCACCGAACGGCAATCCCGCTTTGTTAGGGCGGCCTCACGCCACAAATAGGTTGACTCGGGGATTCGCGACATTGCGATGTTCATGTTGAAGAATCTTCCTGTAGCTCGCTACCTTCGCCCTTCTCAAAAGAACTAGAACTAGAAATGATACACGCTATTGAGTCATAGACTCTAAACATCCAAGGCATCCGTTCTAGATTCAAGAAAATTTTCACCGGTTGGTGATATCCAATACATATGACACCATGAGATATACAGTATAACTGGGCTATCACTTTGAGATGTTACGTTTCTTTTCAACCGTATACTATCGAACTATTGTGAAACCGACCCACTTTCTCTGGGGTGCACCAAACTAAATTAGCGTTCCGTTCCCTCGGGACACTTGAACCAAGCGGCTAGTAATTCAGTGCGAACGCAGCACCCATGATTACTCCAGCATGCGGAAGATTTTTTACCGCCCTTGCAAAAACTGGTTGTGATGAGGCTGTTGGCATGTTTGATCGTTCATTGGATAAAGACAAGGAGGTTTGCCACAGGTGTGATGCGAGCGCTGTACTCGAAATCTCTGTAGTGCTTGGTCCCCCGTCTCCGCGAGCCTGACGCCAAACCCAAAATAACGGCTACAACAATCAAGTCCAGATCCACTCCTTATTTAAGATGCGGCCAATTGTTATTCCAAGGAAATAGTCTTTCAAGGCATATGAATAAGTATCACAAAATCGAGGAGCCGTTCGATTGTCCCACATGTAAGAGAGGAGGGAACAACATCCAGATTAATGGCCTGGATTCTTGGCTTACCCGTTGCCTACGCCTACTGCCATGAGCTCTCCGTACAAGCATCAACATTACCCGAAACTACCTACGGAGAGCTCATGGCAGTAGGCGTAGGCAACGGGTAAGCCGGATAAATCAATGCAATAAGTGGGCAGCTGTTAGGAGGGGCGTTGAGGGGGTGGTAAAGCAATTAGTATCCTAGTCTAGCAGCTCCTGAAATTTAATTAAACAGACAATCTATTGTTAGAATTGAGTAGTAATTGTAAAGACATTATGGCAATGTTTGTGTATCGCCAGCTTTGTAGACCAGAATACAACATAACTGCCAATATACCATCTGACCTGACTCCCGGATATTATTTTGGACAGTGCCCTAGCTCTTGGTCGGTGACTTGTCACTGGTAGTAACCCAGCTCCCATGGGCAATCACCACATTGGCCTTGGAGGACATATCCAATAAGCCGCTGCTCCTGTCCTTATTTCCAGCTTTTGTGGTATTGGCAGTGGTAGTAGGATAGCTTCCATTGGCAATGACCACGCTGCTTTTTGATGCCTTGTAACCCAAGACGTTTTCGGCTGCGAGGTTATTTTTGGAGAGGTCGGCTATGATTTGGCGAGGTTGTAGGTCTTGTGCTGAAATTGCAGTGGGTGGGATCCATGCGAGGGGGTGGGCAACAGGATAGGAGGGTTGCAAGTGTTAGGAGGGAGAGAGGGGGTGAGTGCTGTATGGACAAGGTTTACGATCTTGAGGGTGCCAATGTTGATGATGGTGCTGGAGACTGAGGCGAGACTGTTGCTCTCCCATGGACAATTTCCTTCATCCCCCTGCCGTAACCTGCCTGCATTAGTCTGCCTCCTTCATCTACCTGCATTAGCCTACCTTCTTCTTCTGCCTGCATCAGCCTACCTCTACCTTTCCATCCTGGCATGTCATAACTATGGAGATTGGCTTGCAACACACTGTTGGCGCAGCCACCAACACCTTCTCAAACCCACCAAGGAAGTCGTCATGTCTCCTGCATTAGTCCAACACAACACGGATGGCTCATTACGCCACCAACCCGTACAACAAGATATCGACATTGACGATGACCTCAAGATCTACGCAGTTACCAAGGGGGAACTGGACGACTGAATTCAACGCATCACAGACGCACAACACGAAGTAGACGACGACGATATCCAGAAACATCTTTCTACATCAATCAAGCACTGGATGTACAATGGTAAACTATGGGTACCCCCATGGCTACAATGAGAACTCGTAAAAGATGTGCATGACATCTCCAGAAGAAGGAGGGCACGGAGGGATTGCTCGCACCATGCAAGAAATATTTGGATTCGACAAGATGAAGGACGTCGTCACAGAAGTATTGCACGAATGCGAGGTCTGTCACAAAACCAAGGCCAATCGACACAAACCTTTTCTTTTAAAATACCCTACTCAATGCTCGCAGTGAAATGGACGGGAGCAGGAAACCTGAGTGGGACTGAACTTATTGTTTCTGGGCTGGGCCCCGTCTCCTACCTACAAGCACAGGTATGTACCAGACCGTAAGAAGGAAGGATAAACCCCATTTGAATAAGAAAATGCGGTATAAGAGGGAGGAAGAGGGAGGGAGTCCTTGTCGGATTGCCACAGCATGGATTCGGATAATATTGAGGGTCTTCCTCAGTCATCTTTTTGGTTCACCTCGCTTTCGTCAACTTCAACTTCTGCTTCGATGTCGTCAGCCATGAACTTTGCTCAAACTGGCCAGCTTTCGCCCATCAGCAATGGTATGGACGCATCCTACCATGGGGCTAATCAATCTTGTTGTTCTTCCTCCTCCGCCTCTGGTTCGGCCTCGCCTGATTTGGCCCACTCGGTGGCTTCTTTAGCTTCTATCGGACACGGGGGGGTTGGGACACGACAGTCACCATGGTAGTGCTGGCCACGGTCACCACCATGAGCTGTCGTGGGACCCGGACTCGGAAGATAACATGCTGCCATTGCTCATACCTAAGCTACTGAACGATAACGACTTCTGCATAGACCATATCAGGCAGACCCAAAGCAGCAGGACCAGTGGACGACATTTGTCGAGTATCTCGCCTTCGAATGCTTCCGCCTCAGCAAGCTCTCTCATTCTGTCCGGAAACTACGACCACAACATGACGCCGAGTGGGAGAAACTCGTCAAGGCAGGGGTGGTGGGGCCTTTCGATACGTGCGATGATCTGGCAAGTACGGAGGCTAGGGTTATGCGACTCCACGAGTTCCACGAGGCCGTATTTGCAGCACGAGCGCTCGTTCACGGCAGCCACGGGCACGACTACGGCAAGGAAGACGTCTACGACAAATGCACGTGGGAAGCGGCGGGCAGCACGTCATGGTCAGACTTTATACCATCCTCGGGCTGAATGGGTGTCAGAAACTTAATGAGGTCTTCGTTGGGTAGGTTTTGCAGTTCGCCAAGCTGTCTCTTTTTTCCGTTTGGAGGCTAATTTTCTTATGGCAGGTTGTTGACATTTGCCCGATCAGTATCTCCGTCCTACGGGACAAGCTACCTACAGCTGTGGCTTAAGAGGTGAAACCGGTCAAGCTGTCTCCGTAGTAAGCGAGGTAGGTTATAACGGCGATCTATGGTTAGTGACGCTGTTGTTCGTGTGTAAGATAAAGTGAATGCAAGCAAGGGTCCGCCCGTCCACCAACCTTTGTCTATGAATGTGAGGGAGTCTAACTGGCATCCGTTGGTTGGAGTTTCATGCCCGAAAAGCCACAGTGGTAAGATCCGGGTCACTAGCAGCCCGGTCAGGCTGCAGGTTAGTGAAGGTAGGTTAGTGAAGGTAGGTTAGTGAAGGTAGGTTAGTGAAGGTAGGTTAGTGAAGGTAGGTTTCTTTTGTTCAAGTTCCAGATGAAGCCTTGGGCTAGGCAGCGGCGCAACAATCTAGCCCAATTTACAGACAATAAACCGCCCCTCAGTGACAATCCTCATAGCGCCACAATGTGACATGTAAGAGGAAATAAGGACTCCTGCTTCATGCTGACGACAACGGCTAGTCTGCCAGGCATCCGAAAGTCCTTCATTCCTTGGCAATGCATATCTCTATATTCTCCGCGACCGTGCGGATGAAGAATTTCTTGGACCGGACCGAGTGGGCAACGAGGCAGGGGCCGGCCGATCATTTCAGTGTTGACTACATGGGCAATTCGGACAAGGGGGCAGGAGGGCTTGTTGACTTATTCTGTCATCAGAGTATGAAGGTGAACCAGGTGAGACCGAGTTATAAACTATGACATCTCCTGCAAAACCTCTTCTCTTTTTTCTGTATCCGCCTTTCTCTTTGACTATCAAAACTTGCAGGTCACTGCCCCTTCACAACAGCCGAGGAACCCAATCGATCAGTCTTTAATCACTTTCAGTCTGCGGCACGGCATTCTCTCGCTTTCTAGCATTCCTACACGTCCAAACCCTTCGTTCGAGTATTGCCCAGTCAAATGGTTGTATGTAGTGGGAAGATGGGGAGATGGTGTTGACGTGAAAAGAGTAAAGCAAAGAATTTAGCGACAAGGGTGCCCAGCCTTTTGTTCGGTCCGGACCGACAAAAGGCTTGGCAAACCTGCAAATGTCGCTTCTACCGGCAATAATAAACGCCGGCGCTGAGTGGGTAGATTAGACCGTCCCATTCAGGCACCAGGATGTGGGGCAGCTCTTGTCGATTGGCTGAGAGCTGCATACGGGGGAGCTGGTCAGGGCTGCGAAACAGGGCGTTGCCTACAGAGTGGGTGGCGTTTGACGAGCCAACCACAGCTCTAAGGATCCCAAGCCTGCAACTCCACTTGGAGTATGCACATGCCCGACTTTTCACTTGTCTGCCTTGACCTACCTACTTCATCTGCCTGCCTTGCCCTACTTTATTGGTCCGACTATTCGTCGCTCGGTAAAATCTAATGCCCGCCAATGAACGTTCTAGCCTAAACGCTAAACCCGCCAGTAAACGCCTGCAGCTTTGTAAATAGGTCAACGGTAGGATTCCAAAATGAGTCGGTTGGTTCTACGGATCCGGAGTGGTGGATGCGGCAGGGGAGGAGGTTGGGTGTTGTTTTTGGAATGGGGGTTGAGGTTGAGGAGGAGGTGCTGGGGGTGAAAGCGAGGATTGGTTGTTGGGTCATTGTGACGAATTTCTGGATATTCCACTGATACAACTGGTTGCGTGAGTTGAATAAGTGAGCTGGATGGATATGGTGGTGATGAATCTCTTGTGGACGAGAATATCGAAAGACGGGCGCGGAGATGCGTGACAAGTAGGAACTTGATGCACGGATTACTAGGGTAACGATTTCAGTCAAATTGCTCGGAACAAGGAAGGCGACATGTCGTCCAGAGTAATGTTTGAAGATGTTCTGAGTCAATTCCCAGAGTCGTTCAAGGTTTTGAAACCGCTGTCACCGTATCAGGAAGATTCTTTTTGGTCCAGAGGGAGGAATGTTCTTGGGAACCCCCGAAAGAGACCCTGACCAACTCTACAGGCCCATCATAGAAGCTTATAATGAGGCCATCGACAAGCTGTAGAGATTACATAGTTGGGGGGGGGGGGGAGGGGAAGAAAGCGAGACGATGGAAAGGGTGGTTGATTTTCTGTTATTTTAGTTGTAGAAGACACGCAGGACAGTCGTCGCTTCGTCTTGGGATTTACCATCTGTGGGTCACTCATAAGATTATGGGAGTTTGATCGGCTCGGGGCCATCGCACCCAAACAGTTCGATATCAACAACGAGGGCTTACAGTTCGTATCAAAGTCCTCGCGTTTCTCTGGATGAGCAAGGAGGAGCTTGGGTTCGATCCATCAATCATAACGGAGAATGACGAGCGGTTCGTCCAGATCAAGAGGAATGGCTCAACAGAGCGTCTCATCATTGATAAAGTGATGCTACGC